AATTATGGAACGGTGCCAAAAAACAAAAAAAAAATTAAAAAAATACCAACAAAATCAAGAAAGGATACGATGGAAACTCGAAAATAGAATGAAGACCTACTAATTTAAGAAGATGCTGGGGGTCTACAGGGAGAGTGATGAAAATGCCCGATATCTGGGGAACATGACATCGTTACATCCCCATCAATAACAGCCAGTTATTTGATGTGCAAAGGAAAACGCATGAACAACAACAACTGGGACAACAACAACAAAAACAATAATAATAATAATAATGATGATGACGACGACAAAAACAACACCAACAACAACAATAATAATAATAATAAAGAAACTAGTATGAACACCACCCAGACCGGGTTATGGAGATAGGACCTGTTACAATTCTATGGGACTACACAATACATATTAACAGAACAATCAAAGCCAAACGCCCAGACGTTGTTATTAGAGACCACAAACAAACAAAAAAAGTGCCTCCTTATTGATATGGCAGTCCCTGCAGACTGCAATGTATCTTTGAAGATCTTCAAAAAGCTGTCAAAATACAAGGACCTTGAAATAGAAATTTCAAAAATGTGGCACATGGGAACATCAACAATCCCTGTTGGAGTTCGAGCCCTAGGACTGGTTGGAAAAGATTCCTGTAGACTAATTGAAGGGATTTCTGGAAGTCCATGCCTCAAACAGATACAAAAAATTGTTCTCACAAGTACGGCCCACACTTTACGAAGGGCTTTATCTATGTATTTTTTTTTTTTTTTTGTCAGTGGAAAGTGTCATGATGCCATTTCTAACCTTAGGTCTCTGGACGGGACCCGGAAAGAAATGTGTAAACGCCAGAAATCAAAGAAAATAATAATAATAATAATAATAATAATAATAATAATAATAATAACAACCCTATGCTGGGTTGTCTAAATGGTTGTTTATAATTTTTCTTTGTAAGTTTGAAGAATCAATTAGTTAACATGGTTTGGGAATCATATTTCGATATTTGAAAACACCTTCAATCGGAGGACCTCTGAGCAGACGTGAAATTATGTTTTACTAGCACCGACCCGTAAGGTTACGCGCTACTTTTATCAAAACCCCAAACTATAGCACACACTTTTGGCTCTGGTGCGTTTGTTTGGTGTACTGCCATGATGGGCAGACGGGGTTTTGTTTATTTGTAACATACTCTCAATTTTTGTGTGATGCTCTATCATTTACTACTACTACTGCTAATCTTACTACTAATACTACCACTACTAATAAATACCGAGTTATTTTGTAAAAGCGAAAAAGACATGCATAAAACTCACAGTGCATTCATATATATGCATGTGGGGGGACTCGAGGCGGTGTAATGGTTAACAAGCTTGACTCGCAAGAACAATTATGACCGAGTAGTGAGTTCGATACTTACTGGGTGGCCCTTGGTTTCGGCATTGTGTTACATCTAAGCTACGCTTGGGAAAACCATTATATTTTAATGGGCAGATGTGTTTCATTTGAGGCCGGGTGTCATTAATTTCACTGTTTAATAAAATAAAATGTTATAGATAGCAACTAAAACACCTGGAAATACTAACGATAAAGTATATAGTAATAATAATAATAATAATAACAAATATAATGAATAGTGAATAACTATTTCTGAAGAAAATGAACTTTATCAGTAGTTTTCATTTGTATTTTATCGTTAATTTTGGTCACTGCTTGTGTTAGTCAAACGGCCTATTTAAATTTCTAAAGTAGAGGATGGAAGACACCTGACTTTAAGGATTCCCTCCTTGGTCATTTTGACAGTTTTATTGATTAATGAGAATGGGATGTGCGTGTTAAGTGTATGTTATCTTTTAGTTCTTTGGGAGTGATGTGTGTAATTGTATATATCAGTAAGTGTGTATATAAGTGTGAAAACTCAACACCTCTGCAAGCATGTCTGTCTGGTGAGAGGGAGAATAATCGAGAGCCGAGTTCGAATTTCAGGTGAATCCATTACATTCATTTACGTGCTAACACCATTGGGAAAGGTATGAATGCTCTTCTTATCTGTCCAGTTATGGGTACATAAATATGGGTACAGACTGGGTTCTATAGCCTTGGATGGCAGCCGGTCTAGGAGAAGGACAATTCTGAATTCAAAACCTGCGGAGGGTCGTTTGGAGAACTTGTGGCACACGGTGCATCAGGTCCCTGTATTCGGCCCTTCAAAAAGTTTGGTTGGTTCTGCACAAAGCCTTCACTACTGTAATCAAATCATATCTGCTGGTTTCTGGGCTGTCACTTCCTAGGAACAGAGCTGCATGACTGTCATACGTCAAATACGACAGGAGAGTCCACCATATATATATATATATATATATATATATATATATATATATATATATATATATATATATATATATATATATATGGTGCGATGGGTAAATAATTATCACCATTATTAATTTTTCATTTTGCACGTGCACGTTGTTCGAATTTTGATTGTGTTCACTGCAATATATAGTAGGGTACGTTAGTCACCGTCTGTGAGAAAAAAATGCGCTAAGACACATTTCACTCAAATTTGAGAACATCATGCTGTACTACTTGGGGTTCGTGCCAGAAGCACAAATACAAACATTTCAGTGTGTCTGGGGGTAAATCTGAGGACACCGCAGAGGATTCAGGAAGAGTTGGAAGAGTCTAATAATGATTACGAAGGTGTTTGGAATGATCACTAAAGATAGCGACGTTATGTCTCCATTCATATTCCCATAGCCCTCACACTCAATACAGAGGCCTACATCAAGTGCTTTGAGGAGGTGGTGCTGACACTATGTTTGACAACAGGACTCTACACCATGCCAAAAAAAAGAGATCCCTGTCATGCCTGTCAGACAATTTTTGCGACCACATCAGCCCTTACAGCTTTCCTCCTTATTCCCCAGAATACAACACTCTTGATTATTATGTGTTGGGCACAGTTGAACAAGAGACCAACAAACTTCCTTGCAACACCAACGGTAAGGATTATGGCAGCATTCACCAACCTAAACAAGAAGACTGTCTAGAAGAGTTGCTAGAGAATCTGATGTCGTCTGTAGGACGTGGACGAAGGCAATGGCGATTTTATTGAAACTCTTTAGATAAAAAGCAAAATAAATAGCAAGGTAAATAGATAAATACAAAAATAGATAGCAAGATAAATACCAATATAAATAGCAAGATAAATACCAAAATAAATTGACAGATAATTACCAGGATTAATAGTAAGATGAATAGCAAGATAAATGCGAAAATAAATATCAAAATAAATACAACGGGTATAGCAAAATAAATACCAAGATAAGTAGCAAAATAAATACCAAAATAAACATCAAGATAAATATTTAGATAAATATCAAAAAGAAATATCAAAACAAATACCAGATAAATACCAATATAAACACCAATATAAATAGCAAAAATAGATACCAAGATAAATAGCAAGATAAATACTAAAATAAATACCAATATAAATAGCAATATAAATGCCAAAATAAATTGCAAGATAAAGAGCAACATAAATAACAAAACAAATAGCAAGATAAATGCCAAAATAAATAGCAACATAAATACCAAAATAAATACCAAAATACAAAACAAGAGGAATACCAAATTAACTACCAAGATAAATAGCAAAATACAAAACAATATAAATACCAAAATAACTACTAAGATAAATACCAACATAAATAGCAAGATAAATATAAAAATAAATAGCAAGATAAATTCCAAGATAAATAGCAATATAAATAGCAAAATAAATAGCAAGATGAATGGAAATCTCAAATACGCTGCTGCTTGATCGCCATCACTATGTAATTGAAAGGACAGTTAAACAAGGAAAATAAATAAAAATGAAATGCTAACTAGAAAACAGATTAGAATGAGCAGAAAATGATTTATGTGAAAGAAAGAATTTCTTTGCTATCTCTGAGCTTAATTCTCTTTAGATGGATTTGATCTTAACAGAAATTAATTTTATTTGTTTACAAAGCAAATATATAAGTATTATTTTTGAAAATGAAAAACACTTAATGAACAGAACAAAAAGGTTAATAAAATAAAATAAATGATTCGATTAAAGAATTATAAACATAACAATTGAAAGTGCAGTTTAATCTATCCCAAGCTTAATTAGGGAATCACTTGCAAGAATAACTCTCTAAACTACTTAATGGTTCACACCTTAAGTTTGTCAGCCATTACGATATGGCAACGTCCTAGATATTCACTAAGCTTTATAAACCAATCAGATTGCAAAATGCGGATAGTATAGTTGGGAAGATAGCAATGGTTCGTTCTTTCTAGCAGGTAAGAGCTGAATTCTAACTTTGACAAAGCTATTTGTTAAATTATTTATCAACAGAGAAGCAATGCCAAATATTGACAATTATGAGCGTTAGCTGTAGGGCCATGGTAAAGATTTCATCTCGTAGATGTCTTCCTATGTTGAACAATCTCCTCACAGATGAAGAAGAGACTTCAGGCAATAGAAACTTGTTGCTGCAAAAGAATACTGAAATAACATATACTGAACAAAGAAGAAACCACGAAGTTTAGCGAAAATAGAAACAAATATGACATTATATTTAGTATAAAAAAGGGATAGTTGAAATTCTTTGGGCACATAATGAAGAAATAGAGACTGGCGAATTTTCCACCTAGGGGACACACTGAATGAAAGAAGGACAGAGAAAAGCACTGAATAACTTACCTGAACAACTTGTGTAAATTGTTGGTAGAACCGTGATTAGGAGAGAAAACAAAAAGTCAAAACTTACTTAGATGTAGAAAGTATAAGAAGTTGTGGAGAGCTATGATCGCCTTCTTTCTGAAGGGACACAGGACATAGAAGAAAAATAAGAACGACCTTGGTTGGTAGAAAAAGCACTAGGGAAGATAGCAGGAACAAAAAAACATTGCTAAGATCTACAAAGGACAGAAAATTGCTAAGATCTACAAAGGACAAAAAATTGCCATGATCATAACACATAGAAGAAGAAGAAGAAGAAGAAGAAGAAGAAGAAGAAGAAGAAGAAGAAGAAGAAAGAGGAGGAGGAGGAGGAGTGTAACTGTTTAGCAGAACAGCGGTTAGGAGAGATAGTAAAAAGACAAAATTTATTTAGAGCTACAAAAGACAGAAGTTGCGAAGAGCCACGCCGGCTACATCCAGAATTGACATGACACATAGAATAAATGAAGTTGATCCTCATATAATTGTTTAGTGTAATGGTGCCCAAACGGTGCGGCGGAAGAGAATAACAGGTGAGGCGGAAGAGGGTAGCAGGTAAGACAGAAGAGGATAACAAGTGAGGCGGAAGTGGATAGTAGGTGAGGCGAATGAGGATAATAGTTGAGGCGGAAGAGGATAGCAGGTGAGGCGGAAAAGAATAATAGGTGAGGCGGAAGAGGATAGCATGTAAAGCGGAAGAGCATAAGAAGTGAGGCGGAAGAGGATATCAGGTGAGGCGGAAGAGAATAGTAGGTGAGGCGGAAAAGGATAGCAGGTAAGGCGGAAGAGGATAACAAGTGAAGCGGAAGAGCATAAGAAGTGAGGCGGAAGAGGATAGCAGGTGAGGCGGAAGAGAATAGTAGGTGAGGCGGAAAAGGATAGCAGGTAAGGCGGAAGAGGATAACAAGTGAAGCGGAAGATGATAGCAGGTGAGGCGCAAGAGGATAGTAGGTGAGGCGGAAGAGAATAGCAGGTGAGGCGGAAAAGAATAATAGGTGAGCCTGAAGAGGATAGCATGTAAGGCGGAAGAGGATAACAAGTGAGGCGGAAGAGGATAGGAGGTGAGGCGAAAGAGGATAGAAGGTGAGGCGGAAGAGTATAGTAGGTGAGGCGGAAAAGGATAGCAGTTAAGGCGGAAGAGGATAACAAGTGAAACGGATGATGATAGCGGGTGAGTCGGAAGATGATAATAGATGTGACGAGTGAGGATAGCAGGTGAGACGGAAGAGAATAATAAGTGAGGCGGAAGAGTATACCAGGTAAGACGGAAGAGGATAAGTGAGTCGGAAAATGATAGCAGGTGAGGCGGAAGATGATAGTAGGTGAGGCGAATGAGGATAACAGTTGAGGCGGAAGAGAATAGCAGGTAAGACAGAAGAGGATAACAGGTGAGGCGGAAGTGGATAGTAGGTGAGGCGAATGAGGATAATAGTTGAGGCGGAAGAGGATAACAGGTGAGGCGGAAATACTGAAGGACAATCAAAGATTTAGAAAGAGTTTCAAAAAATTTATATGCCAAAAATAAATATGATTTCAAAATTTAAAATATTGTAATATTATTATGGATGTCTTGTAATTGCATGCATGAGACCTAATTTATAATTATTGACCAATTTTAAAGAGTTATCAATGATAATGTTCAGACTTCGAATCCGCTGTTATCTCCCTTTAACCATATCTGTTTTTTTATGTTTTTTTTGGTTTTTTTTTGCTTTTAAATGTACTTTTATCACATAAAATTTGGTGAGATGAGAGAAAATTTTCATTTCAAAAATGTGTCCAAGAGAAAAGTTTGGGAACCACTGGTCTAGGGTGTAATAGATTAGGCGGCGTTGTATTTACATTTGAAATTTTGAACAATAGTCGTGGCCAATGTGTGAACCGATGTAAATTGATAATCACATTAGAAGATCAATATACCAAATAAAAAAAAAATATTCCTAACTTGTTTTTTCTTCTTTTTCTTTTAATAATTTAGAATTCGAGAATTTTACGTTGGGAGGAATAGAATAAGTGATTTTAAATGATTGAAGAATGGATAAAAGGAATAGAAACTGGAGCAAGAAGAAAATGATGGTGAAAATAGAAATGTTACATAGAAAGAAAGGAAGAGAGAAAGAAAGCAAGCAAGCAAGAAAGAAAGAAAGAAAGAAAGAAAGAAAGAAAGAAAGAAAGAAAGAAAAAATGATAATGCAAAACAGAAATGGACGATAAGGACAAAGCACATATAAAAAGGAATGTATGAAAACTGAGAATGAAAGCTAAAAGAAAGAAAAAAAGGTGAATAAAAAAGAAAGAAAGAAAGAAAAAAAGAAAAGTTGAAGAAAGAAAGAAAGAAAGAAAGAAAAGGTGAAGAAAGAAAAGGTGAAGAAAGAAAGAAAGAAAGAAAGAAAGAAAGAAAAAAGAAAGAAAGAAAGATAATACAAAACCGAAATTGATGAAGAGGTCAAAGAACATATAAAAATGTAGGAATAACTGAGAATGAAGGGTATAAGAAAGAAAGTATAAAGAAAGAAAGTGTGAAGAAAGAAAGAAAGAAAGAAAGAAAGAAAGAAAGAAAGAAAGAAAGAAAGAAAGAAAGAAAGAAAGATAATGCAAAGCGGAAATGTTTGTTGAGGTCGAAGCACATAAAAATATAGGGATAACTGAGAATGAAGTCTATAATAAATTAAGTGTGAAGAAAGAAAGAAAGAAAGAAAGAAAGAAAGCGAGAGAGAAAGAAAAAGGTAAGACAGAAACAAAAAGTGTGGAAAGAATTGGGGAAGAAAGAAAGAAAAGAGCGATGGGACTGAGAAAGTAAAAAAAAGTATGAAAAAAGAAAGAAATTTAAAAGAAAATGAATAAAGAAAGGAAGAAAATTGTGATTAAAACAGAAATAAGACGCCAAAATAAAGATCGAAAAAGAAAAACAAGAGGGAATAGAAATAAGTATAGAAAAATAGAATTAAATCTACAAAAAAGAAAGACGGAAAGGAGAAAGAAAGGATAAAGAAATTGAAAAAAAGAAGAATGAAATAATATTATAAAAACGAAAAAGAAAAAAATGAAAGAAAAATAAATCTTTCATACCAATGACAAAATTAAATGAACTATTAGTCAAAAATTACAACCAATCAAACATTAAGCAGTATAAAGGTTGGTGCATTGTGGGTAACTCGTAAAGAACATTCTTGAAGTTTCATTGTCAGCAGAACAAGAGGTCAGAAAGTAAAGTGAATTCATTGCTGTTAAATTGTAATTGTGGAGGAGGGATATTTAGAAAAAAGAATCGATCATGCCCAGGAAAGACAATAAAAGCGAAGCAGAGGGTAGGAGTTTGTGGATAATTGCCAGAAGTGACGGGCAAGAGACAAAAAATAGAACAATGAAGTTGAATATGGGGTTTAAGCAAAACGATGAAAAATTAGGTGGAGGGAAGATTATGGTAAAGAGTTAAAGTGGTGGGGAGTTGGTAGAATTAGAAATCGGTGGAATAAGACCCGGATTAGCTGAGAAATAAAAAGTAACAAATGTGAGGGAGAGGAGAGAAGAGAGTTGAGAAAGAGAGAGAGAGAGAGAGAGAGAGAGAGAGAGAGAGAGAGAGACTTAGAAAAAGATGAGACAAAAAAAGAAGAAAAAGAAATAAGAACGTAAAGAAGATGAAAGAAAAAATCAAATGTCAACAGCAAGAACGACAAAAGGAATCTGTAATCCTATAAGTATTTTTTTATTATAAACAAAAATATTTTATAATTACGACTCGAAAGAAAGGAATAGCACTGGTAGACGTTTTTTATCAAACACTAACATTGGCTATCCATCTTTGCTTACGATATGATTTTGCATTCTTCAACCGTAAAAAAAACTGCACCAACCGATTCAACCTACATATTCACACACAAACTTATTAAACAATATCTAATTGTTTGCTATCCTGCAGAAAAGTTACATGCATTTCAATGGCTACGATATTTTGCGTATGTTGTAATTTCTGCTCGATACACACTTATATATTAAATATCCTTTTGCGATAATCACGCCCAGCTCCTCTGTGGATCAAGGCAAAAATAAATTATAGGTTACAGCTGAGTAGGTTCAACTTGTACTATAGGGTCAATATCCGCATCTAACATCGAGAACAAAATAACAATATATGAAAATATTAATATTATTAACCAATCTGGGGATAAAAAATGTTATTAAAACATTGAAGAAGGCCGGAGCGTACAACTGCCGAAACGTTGTGAATATGGCAATGAAAATGAGGATTATAGTTCGAAAAATGTAAATAATGCAAGAAATCATAATACTTCATCGCAAGGATATAGACAGATATTGAAGAAAACTTCTAATCACCTGACGAACGCCGGTTCGTACAATGGTCGAAATGTTGTGAATATGGCATTAAAGATTAGGATAACACTCCGAATAATGTAAATGATCATAATACCTCATCTCAGAGATATAGACAGGTATGTATATATATATATATATATATATATATATATATATATATATATATATATATATATATATATATAGTGTATTTAGGCAGCATTTTTTCATTCATACATATTTCATTAAATAATATAGACAAGTGTTGTCTATTTATTTTATGTAAATTCTTTTCATGACGTCTGATAAGCTTAATAACATTATCATTAAACGAAGGAAGAAAATCACAATATTGATCCATATTTTTAAATCCACTCTAAGCTTTCGGCTTACATAAGCCATTATCAAAGATGTCAATTACTGTACAACATATTAAGCAATATACGGACAAGACAGTGATGATAGTCTGTGATTGTTTACATGGATGATTTTCTAGCGGCAATAAACACGTGCATATAAGACGCTAGAAGCGAAAATCGTACCTCAGCTCATGACGTCACACATGACCACGCGAGAGTGAATTCGGGAAGTATTAAGTATGGGAAGCCGTTGGTATAAACCAATGGTTTCTCTTACCAATTATAGCCATTTAAGGATATTTGTAGAGATTCCATAGTTGATTTTGTTTAGCTTGGGTTTCAACTGTTTGATGTATATATCTTCAAGGATTTTTGGTTTTTGTCTATTGTTTTCATGTTGAAGTATACTTGTGTTTTCGACAAGGATTTTACGGAATTGTGTGTGCGCGCAGGCATGTTGTTTTAAATGCCTAAAAATGTTAGAGTTTTCATTCAAATGCAGTATGAAGCGTCGTGAAAGCCAGTTTGTGGTGTGACCAACATAAATATTATTTAATTCGTTGGAGATACAATCTCCCAAGGGGCACTTTAATTCATAAACTATGTTGTTTTTTTGCAAATCGCTAACCGGGGGAGAAGAATCATTGCGAAGTATTAAGATGGATATATTAGATTTAGTGTAGTATATGATTAATTTAATTATATTAATCATATAGATTAATAGTTCATACATAAACTAGATTTAGTGTAGTACAATGTATCTTAGCTGATACCTACTAATCACTCTTTAGTTTTACCAATATATTTTGAATTAAACTGATATTTGTTATTATAGAGCACAGAATAAGATGCCAGGCAGAAATAATTTACAAATGGCTTTCAACTTAGGTTGGGAAGTGAAACAGATAGTGGACGTTTTAAATCATTTCATACCAAACATGGCAATAAAGCTACTAAGATGTAAGGGGATAATGAATGTTAGAGAATACGCGGAAAAAACAGTAAGGCTAACGAACAATAAAAGAAATAGAATTAAGAAGACAACGAATGATATTGCATTGAAATTTTTGAAGGTCAAAGTTGACTGAGAATCAAGAATTCGGAAGATTTTTCTGCAAGCGAGAAATGCGATAGAAGAATTTAATAGCATAGAACTTATGGTTACATCTATTTCAAATGAAAACAATGAAACCTTATCGCCAGTTATATGCCATGCGTGATACATGCTTAGGTGATCATGTATCATTTGATACATGACGGACGAGGCAGATTATTTCCCGCAGTAGGTTCCAATTTCTTACTGCAGTAGAACACCTGTCATCCAAGGCTATAGAACCCGGTCAGTCTTGCTTTTTAACCATAGCTGGGGGTGGGAAAAAGGATGCATACTTTTCTCAAGGGTAATCGCTTGTAAGTAAATGTAATTCGACTGGAATTCAAAATCGGTTCTCTGGTTCCTCAATCAGAGCCGCTATCCATTACTCCACAGTTCCTACAATGCTTAAATCCTAAAATTCTAGGCACCATAGAGGAAAGTTCATCCGAACAATTACCATGAAAATATTTATTGATTGGCTTCACATTTTGAGTGATTTGCCACATGTAGATTCACCAATCCACGGTAATTGTTACATTTTTACCTTCCTTACTCTCATTCCACTTTGTTATATATTTTTTTATATATATATATATATATATATATATATATATATATATATATATATATATATATGTATATGTATATTGTTGACCTGACGATCCGTATAGGTGAAACCTAGGTTGGTTTAGCTGGCTCTTTAGGTTATATATATATATATATATATATATATATATATATATATATATATATATATATATATATATATATATATGTATGAATGAAGAAATACAATTTTTTGATGTGCTATATTTATGTGATAAAGTGCTCAATATCAGAGAGATGGAGCGTATGTAAATATAAATATAAAAGTGAACATTGAAGTCAACACTTACAGGTGACAGGCTGTTACATGCTTGGTGCAATCATCAGGCGGCCTGACAATTGCGCCTACCATGAAGCAAATGATTTAATATGAATTGCGAGCTCTTCTGAGCGACTTGGATGGAAATAATGTGTTCTTGATTAAGTAAGAAGTGGACACTACAGACAACATCGAGGTGCGTGAGTTTTAAGTTCACGCTTGATCCAGACTGTCGCCACAATGATAAGGGATTTTTAAGGTTCTTACCCTCAAGGAACTGAGTATATGGGGAGCATTTAATTCAGTCTGCGATAGGCTCCTTGGTAACATAGGTTCACAAGACTATCAAAAGTGTACAGAGAAATTGTTACAGATTTAAAAGATGGGCTGCCGAATGTCGCTTTCTCCTACCACAACGTTTTTCCACATAACCTTGAAGCAGTGAGTGGTGGGCATAGAGAGCGCTTCCAGTAAGATATTAGGAAAATGGAGAACATCTATAAAGATAAGTTGCACCCAAGCTTGATTGAGGATTTCTGCTCTATGCCCCTGTGTGACATTGCGCAGTTGACATTTTGTCCAAAGTACTCATT